TAAATTAAAATGTTAAAATCAAATCTGATATTGTTTTACCTTTTATTTGGTGTGTGGAAGGTGTGCAGAAGAGGGGGTAGTCTTATACGGCGAGTATATAACAAACTCTGTATTTTGAGTGGAAATGTTAGGGGGTCGTCTTATACACCCAGTCATCTTATACGCCGGCAAATACGGTAATAATTGCCTATATTTGTTGCTATCCATCATACACCACTGGTAGGCCACAATCATATTTGCTGGATCTCACAGTATAGAACAGTTTTAGAATAGTACATTCCCATCTTCCTCTACCCCTCCAAAGAACACACCCCAAAACTTACCAAGTGAATCTATGAAGTCTTTATTATTCTGATAAAACTTGACATATGATGCCAATTTAGCATTCACAAAAATGGTTAAAAGCTATAGAGACAAAAAAAATAAAGATACAATATTCAATACAGAATATTTATAGCTCAAAATACTTTTAAAGACACTAACTCCCAGTAATATATTTCTTTAAGTGCGGACATTTCAATTAAGTTTGATCAAATTACCATCTAACCATCTGTACTAATAAAAGGCCAGGCGTCACGACCGGAAAGACCAGAGACTAGACCACCAGGGCCCCTCACCGGGCCGGCCCCACCCCCAAGCAAGCAGTTAGGGGCAATCAGTCAGGCAGGCAGAGTGATTAGGGGTGATCAGGTAGGCAGGCCAGCAGTTAGGGGCGATCAGGTAGGCAGACGGCCCCTTGCAGGGCTGGCCCTGACCCCCAGCAAAGAAAGAGGGAGGCCCAGGCCAGCCAAGCCATTGGGTGGGCGTCCCAGGGCTGCACAGATGGCAAGCAGTGGCAGCTGGGGGGTGGGGCCAGCTGCCTGCAACTGGAGGAAGGAAAGCCCTGCTAGGCCCTGATCTCAGGCCAGTCCTAGGGACCCTACCCGAGGGGTCCCGGATTGTGAGAGGGTGCAGGCCAGGCTGAGGGACCCTCCTGAGTGCACGAATTTTTGTGTACCGGGCCTCTAGTTTGTTTAATAAAAGACTCACTTAAATAAATCAGTAAATACAGTGAGCTCTAAAAATGGTGGTAATGGCATAGTACAAATGGAAAATAACCCAAAACATATTTATACTTGTACTTGAAAAGGATATTAATGTGTTTTAAAATATTGGATTGATTTTATTAACTGGGCTAGCTGACACTATATAGTAAAAAGAAATTTCTATTATTTAGGTTCATAATGGCCAGGCAAGTGAGAAGATGAAGAAAAGGGAAAAAGAACAGAACTGTGTTCAGTAGTTAGAGAAAAACTAATCCTAAATTTCAGTCTGTTCCTGATACAAAAAGAATAACTAGTTCTCTTTCCAGATCTATAGATATGTTCACGAATACTAAGTAACAGAGTTCTTTTATACAAAGAAAGAGTTCTGCTTTAGTATGTTAAATTTAGGAAAATATAGTATTTTTCACATTAAGAATAAACTACTTACATCATGAATAAGTTCGCCTTCCAAAAACTTGACTGGTTTTAAAGTGAGAAGATGGTCAAAAAGAAATGCATTTGGATCTTTCAATGCTCGTACAATACACCTTAATTAGAAAACAAAAATCCAAGCTCAGTCTTGAAATTCAGGTATGTCTCACTGAGTTTGCAGGATGCAATACATTTAATTCAGTAAAATGTCCAAGAATTCAATATATAAAGCATAAGAAAAGTTGTAAGATTGGGGTTAAAACAGGCCAATAAATCTACACATCAAGTACATGTGTTTAACAAAATAATAAATAGTTGGAGACAAAAACATAGCTGGAAAGTACCACAAAGTAATCAAAGAATAAATAAAACAGCTGCAGCATCTTACCATATGCCAGACACTAAGGTAAGGATAATTCAATGAATCCTCATGATACCCTGAGACATATAGTCTTAACATGCCCATCTTATGAATGACAAAACAGGCTCAGAAAGAGCTCATCTAACCTCAAAGATATTTTCCACTAACTACCCTTTCAACCAACACATATCATGTTTACAGGTCCTGTGTGAAGCCAATAACCCTGTAAGTTATAATTTGTTTCATAAATTTGAAAAGCTGATTTTGTTCTTATTGCTACTAAGCAGACTTACGACTATTTGAACCCATTATTATTATCGGGAATAGGCTAAGCTAATTTTTAGCAAGCCACCAACTTTTCCTCATTTACACACCTTCATAAGTTAAAATTGACCTATGATTAGATTCTATTTTTCAGGTTGATATTTTCAACCCCATATCAGCAATTTCCCAAACAGCATGTAGCTAGTTCATATACAATTTGTGGTTCTTCCAATATCAAATTTTCAACTTTAGTATCTCTATTATAATCACCACAGAGCACACAGTATCAAATGGCTTTGGATCATTGGCAAGTGTAAACATGATTTCATTTATATGATTGAACACTGTAACTCATCTCTCAGCTGCTGATAGTCATCATTAGAACAATGTATTTTTAACATTACCTGTGGGCATCAACTCGAGCCTGGGAAGCATTGTCTTCTGTGTAACTTCCTAGCAATTCTACCATGACTTTTGAAGCGGCATCACTAAAAAGAAATATTGCTATAAGAATTTCACAGTATCTCTTTGCTATTCATTCATTAAAAAAATTTACTATGCCAAGTACTGTGTCAGTGATACATACAATGGTGACCAAGAGCGACAAGGTCCTGCTCTATGGGAAAAGTCATGGCACTTTCTAGTAGGAAAGGCAGACAATAAGCAAGCATGTGCCATGAAGGAAATAAACGGTGATTAACAGAGTCAGCATCATGACAGAGTGAGATGACGCCTTTATTTCTCCCCTTAAAATTATAAGTCAGGCAACCATAATTCAACAAAGAATCCCTTGCACACAAGCACGTCTGAGATACATGCATTGAGACATCTGATGGTAGGCATATCAGAAGGAGCAGGGGTGGTGGAACAGGGGGAAGGGCAGACACGGGTCACAGACAGTCTGGCACCTGCCCAGCCCCAGCTGATGTGGTAGTGGTGAAGGAGTTGGGCTGCAGCCCCCACAGGGCAGCCCAGAGGGTAGGAGGGACAAAAGCAATGTTCTGGCCTGAATACCCAGTGCCCATTGTGGCTAAATCTGGTGATGGGGGCAGAGATGGGGTACAGCAGTGTGGCAGCTGCCAAATGGTGGCCACCATTAGTAGCAAGAAGGCCAACTCACAGAATCACACCACCACCCCCTGCCACCCCTCACTGGTAGAACCTATAGAGGCAGCATGAATGCCACCAACAGCACAAAGCAGCTGGTACCTTCGGGTTACAAGGAGGCAGCACTGGGAAGTCGCAGGCTTGAAGCCCCATTGCCCACCACGAGGGTAGTGCACTGAGAATGAAGGGACCTGGACATAAAGGGGCATTTTCCAGAACTAAGGCAACACCCTCTCAACAAGATCCGAGAGGTAAGAGTAAACAAAAACTGGTGCTATCGCACTATCTACTGGAAAACAAATGAAAGACCACTACTTATCAAGCCACTAGACCAGTGGTTCTCAACCTTCGTAATGCCGTGACCCTTTAATACAGTTTCTCATATTGTGGTGATCCCCAACCATAAAATTATTTTCGCTGCTACTTCATAACTGTAATTTTGCTACTGTTATGAATCGTAATGTAATTATCTGATATGCAGGATGTATTTTCATTGTTACAAATTGAACATAATTAAAGCACAGTGATTAATCACAAAAACAATATGTAATTATGTGTTTTCCGATGGTCTTAGGCGACCCTGTGAAAGGGTCGTTCGACCCCCAAAGGGGTCGCGACCCACAGGTTGAGAACCGCTGCACTAGAGCAAAATGATACTTAAAAGAGTTCACTACCTCAAATGCCCAGGCAGAGAAACAATCCATCAAGTACCATGAATAACCAAGGTAACAAGGTGGCTCATAAAGAAAATGAAGTCTCCAGAAACCAAACTCCCAAGACAAGGAAGACTGATTTAAATGACAGAGAATTCAAGATTGCAATTATGAAAAAAATAACAAAACAAAAAAACTCCAGAAGATGCAAGAAAACTCAAAAAGGCAGTTTAATGAAATCAGGAATAAAATCAATAGGAAAAAGGAGCACTTCGCCAAAAAGGTTGAAACTATAAAAAAAATTTCTGAAACTAAAAACCTCAATAAATGAGATGAAGAACATTGGAGAACACTGGAAACAGAGAAGACTAGATGGAAGAATTAGTGAGCTTGAAGACAGAAATCTAGAAATGACTCAGGCGGAAGAGAACTGAGAGTTTTAAAAAATGAAAGAACTCCACAAGAACTATCTGACTCCATTAGAAATAGCAACGTAAGAATAATTGGGTATACCAGGAAGAGAAGAGAGGGAGAAGTAGACAGTGAGCCTATTCAAATAATTGATGAGAACTTCCCAAGCCTATTGAAAGAGCTGGACCGTCAAGTTAAAAAAGCTAAGAGAACAACTAATTAATATTAATTCAAAAAGACCTTTCCTAAGACCCATTATAGTAAAACTGTCAAAGAGCCAGTGGGTTTGATTCCCGGTTAGGGCATATGCCTGGGTTGTGGGCTTGATCCCCAGTAAGGGCATGCAGGAAGTTGCCAATCAGATCCTTGTCGCTCATCGATGTTTCTCTCTCTCTATTCCTCTACCTTCCTTTCTCTCTAAAAATCAATAAGAATATTTAAAAACAAAACACCAAACTGAATATTGACTACTTACTGCATATGTAAAAGAATAAATATTTTGGAAATGAAGTTTGCTAGGTAGGCTGGATACAACCTTTAGGAACCCAAGATCTTGAAGAAACTCAATAGGTATTTTAAAATTTGCAGTTATCTTTAATAAGTAACATTTACAAAAACAGATTTATAGCAACTCCACAGAGAGCAAAGGAGAGCAAATTCATTTACCTTTAAAAATCAGCCCTCAACTACTCATTTTGCCTGTAAGTTTTAAGACATTAATTGTGAATACCTTTTCTTACAATCCACAAGTGCCTCATAAAGTAGCCTTAAAAGGGTGTGTTTTTTCTCAGTGGTAAGGTTCCAGTCAGAAATCCATTTTCTAACCTACGATGAGATTGATAAAGGGAGATTTAGTGATATAGCTGAATATATTTTCACAATTTAAAATATAACATTTAGAAAACACATATTTGCTTTGATTATAAAACTACACTTATAAGCAAAACAAGTATTCCACATAATAACTCACCTGATCCAGCTCAGTTGGAATATATTGGATGGCCCCACATGATGCTGCCACTTTAATGAGGCTACAATATACTGTATATCTTACAGGAGTATTCTTATCCATCCCATGGAAAAGGTTGCTTAGCCTGGTTAACAAACAAATAATAAAAAGTTTGAGATCAGTAACTACAGTGATTAAATTGAGAGTATCTGCCCTCACAACAAATGTGAGACAGACACTATTAGTAACTGCACATTAAAGGAGGGACCTGAGGCACAGAAAGGTTAAGTGACTTGTCTAAGGTCACACAACTTATAAAAGGCACAGCTGACAGTCAAGTTTCAGAATTCTTGCTTTTAACCATCAAATGACAATGACATGAAAAGAGCCCCTGGAAAAACCGAGCCTTTTTCAGTTTTTAACTTACAACTGCAGTCTCAGAGATGGGCGTTCACCTTCCCGAAATTTGACCAGCTTTTCACAGAGGTTTTCAATCAAAGCTTCTTGCTTTTCTGGCTCCAAGATCAACAGGAGGGATACCACGCTGTTCATCACACTTTCAACATCTATACATGACATGGCGTAGATAATACAAGTGATACTATGATACTTAATGTATCTGAATTTCCAGTATTCAAAGACTATTAAACATAAAACACTTGTATATTTTATTAAAGAAATAAATTATTACCTAAGATTTGGTTTTCAATCAACAAAACAGAAGATTGATCTACGTGGCTACATATACGGTTTCAATTTTCACTGGCAAGATAGTCAATCGTGGAAGTAATTGGTTAGGTCTTAAGCTAGGATACTCTCCCAATTAAAGAAAACATACAAACAGAAAAGTTATTTAGAAATGAAAGGTATTTCTTTTTTGACTGGGTCACTAATTTTCAAGTATAAGCTTTTAGTCATTTACCAAGTTTAATCTGAAACCTTAACTAGAGATTTCAGAACTCCCCATTTTCAAAATGTCCCATTTCATGTCAAGAAATAGGCTGAGCCGGCATGGCTCAGTGGTTAAGGGTCAAGCTATGAAGGTTGAGGTTCAATTTCCAATCAGAGCACATGTTCAGGTTGCAGACTCGATCCCCAATTTGGGGCATGCAGGAGGCAGCCAATCAATGATTCTCTGGCATCACTGATGTTTCTTTCTCCCTCTCCTTCTCTGAAATCAATAAAAAATAAAAAAATAGGACATCAACCAAATAATTAAATAGCCTTTAGATTACTTGTTATATCCCACTTGATATTAATCTAAACCTTACAGAAAAGAAAGAAGTGCTTCATTTTTTTCTTCAATTCATTCTGAAATTATCAGTATTCAGTGTGTGCAGTAACAGACAAAAACATTCCTGATGTAAAAAAGATGTTTTCTCAAAATGGGCTTACTTCATAGATATTAACAGAGTAGAAAAACCTGAAAGTATGTACAAAGATTAGAAACAGTGCTTCAAAGTTCTAAGGTCTGAAACAAAAATATAATTCACAAGAAAAATTTTAAAATAGGTTATTAGAAATACCACAAAAAATTAAAAAACAAACCTTTATCATCTTCCTTCAGACATACATCACAGGCTTCAATAATTTGAGCTAAATCTACATGAAGTCCACCTTCTGAGTTCTCTTCTGAAATTTCAGCTCCTTTAGATTTCAGATAAGCTCGAAGCTCAGCAGCCTGTGGAATCAAACAGTGTTGCTATATATCTATAAAACTGACTATGAATGACAAGATCTCAAGCCATTCTGTCCTACTTCTAAAAAAAAATGAAACCTAAATGCTGTATTTAACAATGACTTTACCTCATCCATCGTCACAACCCCCACAAGTTTTCCTCTACAACTCCCAGTGGGTACGCAGACCCACTATGGCCCACATAGATCAACTTCAGAACTTCTCTCAGATCACCTATATATCCTGCTGGAATTATAGTATATATCAAAAATCTTTCTAATATAACCCAAAGCCTTTTTGGGGTGTGGGGTGAGATCTGACCTGGTAAATTCAATTTGCTTAAAAGAAATAAAATGTTATTGCTCTGAGGTGTGCATAGCAATACTACTTTGAAAACTTACAAACATTACCTTGGTAAGAGAGTAATTACTGTTAATTAAATGTTTGAGACCCTATCTGAGATGAGCATTTGGGGAGCCAAAGATAAAAAGATGATGCCTTTGGCCCTGGCTGGTGTTGTTCAGTTGTTTGGAGCTTTGTCACATACACCAAAAGGTTGCAGGTTCAATCCCAGTTGGGGCCTGGGAGGGCAAACCTTTGATGCTTCTCTTTCTCTCCAATCAATAAGCATGCCCTTGGGTGAGGATTAACAAACAAAAAAAGGTGATGCCTTTGAATGCTTCCTCGAATAAAATACTTACATCAAATTGGATCTACTATAAAATTCTTTTGAAATGCAAAATGCATTATCTGGATCAGAAAGCACCTTTGCACCTATAAAAGTATAACTGCAGGACTGCATCCAGTATTTAGACGTTTTTCTATTCTAATATGTACATATAATATTTAATAACTAGTTCTTTTTAGAGTTCAGTATGCATGGCAGCCAAACATGAATGCAGATGGTATTTAAGATAATAATATGAAGAACTGAAAAAGAGAGAGGTAAGAATACCATTAGTAAATGCCTGGGTGTCACATTTTCTAAACCTACAGATATGTTTTGGCTACCTAAGAAAAGTATATTAATTCTGTAGACCTGATGATACTATCCTTTCAGATAAAAACTAGTCACTTCACATATGCATTGGCAGTAAAATAAGACTTCATAAAACAACTGTGAGAGAGCACAAAAAACCCTGTGAGAGAGCACAAAAAATACCCCTGGAAAGCACACTTCGGTATGAAGAAAACACAACTTCATCAAAACAAAGGCACTTGGTTCAGTTTCCACTTTGTAAACATAAAAGTGAATTTTTCTAATAACTATTCAACCAACAGTTTATTGTTTTGTTTTTAAACTATCATCCTCACTGGTTACAAGCAGTGTTTGGCGAGTGGTACAAAAACCAAGGAAAAGAAACAGGATTCTGAGCTCCATTTCCCAACTTTAATTAAACTGAGAATTTGATCAAAGTTAACCTCTTGAAAACAAAAGCACCTCCTTACCTGAAAGTAATGGCTAGAGTGAAATTAATATATTACAAGAACAGTCGCATAACCTCAGTAGAAATGACGCTTTAAGCCTAATACATACATATAAACCTCACCTGAGGATATTTTTTTCCACTGATTTTGAGAGAGAGTAAAAGGAAGGGAGGGAGGAGGAGAGAAAGCAACATGGATGTGAGACACATCCACTGGCTGCCTCCTGCAGTGCTCTGACCAGGCCAGGACCAACAGGTACCCTCCCTGACCAGGAACTAACCCCCCTGACCACTTCGAAACACCTGCCAGGGCGAAAACTAAAATAGAATCAGTAACACCAACTCGCTGCATTTACAAACCCTTTTCTGTATTTAAAAAAACAAACTTTTTTCAATAACCTACTAGTCAAGTGTTGATAACATGATTCCATTACCAACAAGGTATGTTTTTAAGAAAAAGACGTCGTTCACATCTTTTACTATGCTCAACTCCTTCCCACAACTTATTTTTATTTAAACATTTTTTCCCATTTTCATTTCCACTTACTTTGCTCTTCAGGGCTGAGAGTCTGCATTTCTTTAGAGTGTGTGTGTGTGTGTGTGTGTGTGTGTGTGTGTGTGTGTGTGTATGTGCGCGCGCGCCACATCTACAATTCTACAAGTATGCTAGAATAGTAATGACATCTTCTATGGAAATCAAAATGTCCATGTTAGTGGAATAGCAGAAAAAAATGGCAATACGACTTCACAGAATAGTTTCTGCAAAATTACCTTAGAGATCATTTCATGTTTAGTTTCACTCCCACCAACTACAGTTTAACTTTTGTGATGGGGAAAAATGCAAACCCCAAACAGAACATTTAAAAACGTTAGGACGGCTCACCAGATGTATGCCTCAAATATGAAGGTGGAGCTGACGTTTTATTTTCGGGTTAAGAGGCCTCTCACCCTTGCACGTTAAGAATATAAAATATGGTCTATGTATAGAATAGGTCGCCTGTGCCTTTGTGACCCCGTAACACCGTTTTCATCGTCAACAAAATTATGTTTCCTTAGACAATGGCTTACACCGTCGAAAAGTTTGCCACCTCCCACTCCGGATGTGACTGCATTTGGGGGACTGGAGCCGACACCTTTCCCAATGAGCCGAAAAATACTGTGTCGGCAGAAGCGACTCCGGGCTGAGAA